CCATGGTCCCCTCCCCCTCCCCCAGCCTCCCCTAGTACTTACCAGCTCAGAGTCAGCTGCAGTTCCCTGCTGCAGCCACCAGGGACTGTCCAAAACAAAGCTCTCCAAATCTTTTCTGAAGATTTGGAGAGCTTTGAATCGATTCAGATCTTTAAATTGGTCCCCTGATTCAATCTGGATTCAGAGATTCAGCCACTGAATCAGGCAGAATCTCCTCTGAATCGAATCACCACCTGAAGCTTCGCACAGTCCTATTCTATACCAGCCTTCAATTCATTTCTACTTTTCCACATTGCAAAAAAGAGTTCTGGACAGACTGCTTTACATTAAAAGTCACACATACATTACAGCTCTTAAAACTTCAGTAAGAATCATCCTATTTTTCAGTGTTTTGCCTGTCAGGACTAAGCAATTTATAGACACATCCTTCTCTTTTCATTACTGTTCTCCCCACCAGGTCAACAGCTATTCTATTTTCTTCTCTTTCCTTCTCCCCCTAGAATAATCACAATGATTTTTTTTCCTCTGCTGTTCCATTTTCTTCCTCAGTATCTTGATATTTTCCAGGTTAAATATGAACCCGACTCTGCAGATAATGAAACCTACATTCATATTTCCGACAGAAATTTATTACACTAAAAAAAAAAAAAAAACAATATTTTACATTTGTACTTTATTTTGGTACTATTAATTATAATTGCATCACCATGCTGAAACAACTTCATTAAAGATTCTATCTTTCAGACATCAGAAGATATAAATCCTTGGAATAATATACTCTCTGGCTGAGAATATATCAAAAATTTTAAAAGAATACATTTGCTTTTCCTGGGAAGGTTTTGACAGGTCATTCACTAGAAAATTGTTGGAAAAAATCTTTTCTTATGAATACCATACACATCTGCAAGGTTTCATTAAAATGTGTGGAGCTCTATTTGAAAATATTACTTGGTACACAACAGCAATCCTTAGTAGAAAATTAAAAATTTCTATTTAGTACAATAAGATGAGAAAAAAAAAAAAAAAATCTTTGTTACTTTATTAAAGGAAGAATTCTTGCTTCCAAAGGTGGGGGGGAAAGAAAACTTATTAAGTCTAGCAAGGGCAATTTGTCTTTAATCTCTTTTTTAATAAAAATATATAGCATACAGAAAGCATTCCAGTATATTTAAAAGAAAACCTCTTTTCTTTCTGTCATTAGGACATTTTCTTTGTCACTAGAGAAAAGTTTGAATGCATTTGTGAATAAATACAAGCATATAATTCTAGTTTAGGTGAGGCCATCATAATTTGCAGAGAATTCTCAGTGAGGTCCTGTAAAGAAGTAACCATTTTAATTTACTGCATTGAAATAAAAGTAATGAAATGTTTCCCTGAGCACCTGTCTTAAATATCTTAGGGAAGAACTTTTGACCAAATTACAGTTCTATTTTTTTATACTGCAGCATATAGAGTATTCACAGCAAAAACTATCACTGAAAATATTTTACAGTTCCGCAAAGAATGCCACATATACCACAAGTAAAATGTTACATATGGTACATGAGTTATGGTATTTTTTTTTATTTTTTTTTTAAACATTAGTTGCATGTGGAATAGTAGTTACCATCAGCTACCAAGTCTCTTCTGAGACATTGTACTCTTAGCATTCAATACAAAAGAAAATTCACTCTCCAATCAATTATTTAAAGGGAAAAATAGCTCAAATGTTTAAAATCAGATCATCTAGCACAGAAACAATATCTTGTTGAATCTTTATTTAACTTTTTTCCATGTATGCTGATGTTGTTCTTTTGTTAAAAATAAACCTGAGACTTTTATAATCTTTCAGTTATAAATGTAGGCATTTTCATTTTAAAAAATTGAATATCTGCCATTCACAGTTTGTTACATTTTTTAATATACTGGAAGCTCCTGAATTGCAGTTCTACAGAATAATTGTATTGGTTTGAAAAAAATCAATGTATTCATTCTAATAACATCTTGAAAGATGCCCAGAGTATTAGATCAGCACATTTAAGTTTACTCATGTTTCCTTTTAGTTGATCTATACACAGAAGGAAAAGCAGGGAAATAAACCAATCTTTAGACAATGCACTTGGAAAGCAGCACAAATAACTTTCTATTTCATACAAGGTCAAAAGC